TATAACTAAGAAAACTGTGTGTTTACATGAACTGATGCTCGCATCTCTGAAATTATTAATGAGATGGAGAAACTAATTATATATAATCTCCATGTGAATGAATGTTGAAATTTGATTTTTACTTATTTCTGAAGTACTATAAAGCTAAATTATCTAGATTACAATAATCAACAGCGACAATCATAAACACGAAAATATGGTGGGGAAAGAAGAACCTTTAGTAGTTGTTATAAATACATGGAATTGCTAATTCAAATTATTCCAGCATATTAAAAAAATAGTGTCACTATTACTGTACAGATTTTTTGCATTTAAATAGCAATTTTTACATCAAAAAAGATGTGTATAGTGTAGTTTTCAATCACTAAGTTTTACAAAGGAAAAAAATAACATATTTTAATGAGAAATTTGTTGATTAGTACATCTCCTAGCCATCTCTATTAAAGAACTTCAGTTTTCTGATCACATAATCTACTAAATATAGCAGATCACAAAAACTACTAAATATAGTAGATCACATAATCTACTAAATAGAGAAGATTGCATATTACTAAGTGTAGGCATGGTTGCCTATGTTTAGTAGATTATGTGATCTACTGTATTAGTAGATCATATAATCTACTAAATATAGGCGACCATGCAAAATATTTCAAAACCTTTAAAAGGAGTGCAGCAAGGAGATTTAACGGACTACCCCACAATCCTACCAAAAATCCATACTATTGGTGGATGAAAAAGCAACGCTGATAAAACTGAATGCAGTTTTAATTACATATTTATAAAAACAGAAATTTGTTTTTAAATAATTTAGTTTACTTTAAAATCATGAAAAAATATTAGTGAAAATTGTACAGATGTCATTGTCATCATAGAGTTGACTAACCAAAAATTAGGATATTTGGAGATAATTTTTAAATCCTTTCAGAAAGAAAGTTAACATGGATTGACCCAACAGATACAGAAATAAAGTAATAAGTTGGAGGCAATGTAATTTAGTGGTAACTCAATGTTGGAACCTATATTTTAAGATTTAGTAATTAATCATAATACATGTATTATTGTAACCTTTAAAAAGTGTGTTGACCTGTGAATCGTGAATAAAGTGACATACATAAAGTGCTCTACGTTGGACAACCGATCCCAGAGGGCATGTCCTATTATTGTTATTACTTATTCATCTATACAGTACAGTAGCTTTTAATATTTACATGGCACAGATCTTAAACCAACTGCTATGCGTGTACATAGAAACTGGTTATATGTTACTTGCAAATGACTGCTCATTCAATATTGACAAATTATCTATTTAAAGGTTATTGGTCAGTAAATTAACAGTCAACAATGATTGCAGATCTTTCATTTTACGATATTTTCCTACTGCAACACCATTGTGCCGCTAATCACGTTTTCGAGGCCAAGCACCATATCATCCTGCCATGTGACTAATGCTAGCCTTGTGGTCTCATGTCTTAATATCTATAACTGCTGGTAGTTGGCAAATTAATTAATTATTATTTGATTATTATTGTATGTTCTAAAGGTATAGCTAAAACACAGTGGGTTGATGTTGCAGAGAATCTGTAAAAAAAAAATTAACTCAAAAAAACAGAATGGGGGAAGAAGAACACACTCCAATGCTCTTTCTTTTGGATTGATCAATTTATCAAGAATATAAACTTTCCAAAGTCAAGTTTGTTTACATGAATGTAACACGAAGTATAGTAAATAATAGGGTAAACATAAATACATACATTAAAAACATGGTTTCATTAGATAAGCAATATTTTAAATGAAAATATATACTATAGATATGAAATTTAAGAAAAAAATTATAATAATAAAACTATTAAAAATCACATAAAATTTCTTTAGAAAACTAGTGATTTGACTAACATATAGTTAATGTAAAACAGATAAGTACTTTGTTATATTTATTTGGAATGTTTTCCAGTCCTTCATAAAGAAAAAAAAAAAAAACGGAACATTTTAATAGCATAAGTATGAGTTGAAGGGTGGGGAGGTATGCTATTTATGGGTTTTCAAACACATATATTAAATACCACCAGAGTTAAAAGTAATTTGTTACTATCTTGCACCAATACTTTAGTACCAGTGTACTGTATATAATTTCTTCTAGATTATATCAAAGTATTAATTTTATAATCCGCAACAAATAAAATAATAATTCTATCAAATTATTGCTTATTTTTAAAAAGGATTGATAACATATTATATTAACAATAATAATAATGATAACAACAACAACAATAATAATAATAATAATAGCAATAATAATAATAATAATAATAATAGTAATAACAATAATAATAACAATAATAATAACAATAATAATAATAATAACAA